CTGAAGTGACTGTTCATTAATTGTTCAACTAGTTCTCTGTTATTAAGTGACTGTTCATTAATTGTTCAACCAGTTCTCTGTTCTGAAGTGACTGTTCATTAATTGTTCAACCAGTTCTCTGTTCTGAAGTGACTGTTCATTAATTGTTCAATCAGTTCTCTGTTCTGAAGTGAGTGTTCATTAATTGTTCAACCGGTTCTGTGTTCTGAAGTGACTGTTCATTAATTGTTCAACTAGTTCTCTGTTATTAAGTGACTGTTCATTAATTGTTCAACCAGTTCTCTGTTCTGAAGTGACTATTCATTAATTGCTCAACCAGTTCTCTGTTCTGAAGTGACTGTTCATTAATTGTTCAACCAGTTCTCTGTTATTGAAGTGACTATTCATTAATTGTTCAACCAGTTCTCTGTTCTGAAGTGACTGTTCATTAATTGTTCAACCAGTTCTCTGTTATTGAAGTGACTGTTCATTAATTGTTCATCCAGTTCTCTGTTCTGAAGTGACTGTTCATTAATTGTTCAGCCAGTTCTCTGTTCTGAAGTGACTGTTCATTAATTGTTCAACCAGTTCTCTGTTATTGAAGTGACTGTTCATTAATTGTTCAACCAGTTCTCTGTTCTGAAGTGACTGTTCATTAATTGTTCAACCAGTTCTCTGTTATTGAAGTAGCTGTTGGTTAATTGGTCAGCCACTTCTCTATTTTGAGGCGACTGCTTGTTAATTCTTACTTTATTATAAAAAACAAGTTATTTTTCTTTTGCTGCATTACCCTCCGTTCACTTCCATGTGAACTGTTTCGAATATTCTATGAAGTTTGATTTTTTACCAATCGATAATCATTCTTTTGACATTCAAAGGAGTAAAGAAGCTGAAGATATGTACATCCGGGCTCTTCAGTTTGACGCCGACAACCCAAATTTATACTACAATGTAAGTTTTGTACAGAAATGTAACTTATAGTATGCAGAATATATATATATATATGTGTGTATAGTATACTTATATACAAAGATGTAACCTGGGCAACAATGTTCTCTACACAGGTGTGACATAGAAAGTTTTATTCAGAATTGTAACTTGTACCAGAACGTAAGTTTTATACAGAATTGTAAATTAAGTTGTATTCACGTTTAATACATCGAAGAAAGTTGAGATATTATGGGATTACGGCCGAAAGTACCTTTAACACTGAGATTAGCCAGTGCATTCTAATCAATAACTGTTTGTATTTTCTGGTATAATAACTTAGCTATTACTACTTAGTTTATAAAAAATTAACTATTACTACCTAGTTTATAAAAACATTAACTATTACTACCTAGTTTACAAAAACATTAACTATTAGTACCTAGTTCAACTACTATTAGTACCTAGTAAATGTTATTGGTGGTACCTAGTAAACCTTATTGGTAGTACCTTGTACACCTTATTGGTGGTACCTAGTACATACCTTATTGGTAGTACCTAGTACACCTTATTGGTGGTACCTAGTACAGATCTTATTGGTAGTACCTAGTACATACCTTATTGGTAGTACCTAGTAAACCTTACTGGTAGTACCTAGTACAGACCTTACTGGTGGTACCTAGTACAACCTTATTGGTGGTACCTAGTAAACGTTATTGGTAGTACCTAGTAAACCTTATTGGTAGTACCTAGTAAACCTTATTGGTAGTACCTAGTAAACCTTACTGGTAGTACCTAGTACAGACCTTACTGGTAGTACCTAGTACAGACCTTACTGGTGGTACCTAGTACAGACCTTACTGGTAGTACCTAGTACAGACCTTACAGGTAGTACCTAGTTTAACTAAGTGTTATTACTAATATATAAATTACCTATTATTAAGACGTAGTTATTTTCACTACACGATTGATCTTAATACAACAATGTTTTATTGTTTCATCACAGCTTGGTGTTGTCTTACTGGATCAGGGACGATATGAGGAAGCGTTGTCTTTATTTAATAGAGCTTTAGAACTGGAACCAGAACACAAGGTAAGAACATAGAACCAGAACACAAGGTAAGAGGAAGTTTGGTAACAGAAACATGGAACCAGAACACGAGGTAAGAGGAAGTTTGGTAACAGAAATATAGAACCAGAACACAATGTAAGAACATAGAACCAGGACACAAGGTAAGAGGAAGTTTGGTAACAGAAACATGGAACCAGAACACAAGGTAAGAGGAAGTTTGGTAACAGAAACATGGAACCAGAACACGGGGTAAGAGGAAGTTTGGTAACAGAAACATGGAAGCAGAACACGAGGTAAGAGGAAGTTTGGTAACAGAAACATGGAACCAGAACACGGGGTAAGAGGAAGTTTGGTAACAGAAACATGGAACCAGAACACAAGGTAAGAGGAAGTCACATTGAGGGTTAATAAGGGTGAAATATTACAGATGGTTTTTATTCAAATATTTTTTTATAAGAGCGTTTTGTACTCGTCTTAGGCTTAGCGTGTTACTTGTACGTTTTTACAGGTTTTAATTATTCTGGTCGTTCCACTAATTTCAATGCTGTTCATGTATTTCAGCAAGCCCTCATCAATTCAGCAATGCTACTCCAGGAAAGTAACTTGCAGAAGACGGAAGAAGAGGCCAGCAGGAGGTAATTATCTCAAAATGTTAGTGAAACTAAATAACATTCCGTCTTGTTAGAAGAAACAGATGGTAAGCTGAAAATAGTGACAATCCGTGCGATCTTAGTTTATGTTGTTTTATTACGTTTTAATGATAACAATGTGCTATCTGCCCCTTTTTGTTCACCTCGGGGATCGAACCCCTAATTCTGATGTTATTTTTATAAGAATATAATATACGTAGCTTCAAGAACGCGCAAGATGTCGGAATAAAAGACTTTTTTTAAGACTCATAACGTAGGTGAATTACATACGGGCTTTTCTCTAGCTTAGAATACTTTTATTTTATTTTATTTGTGAGTTCTCGGCCTTCTTACCGTAACCTGCACCGGGCAACAATGTACTGAACAATACTGTAGCACATTCAAATGAACTCATATTACTCAGTGTATTATTGCTCGATCCAGGTTCCGATAAGGCCGATAGCTCGCAAATAAAAGTATTTTATCATAGAGAGAAAAAAAACTCCGTGTATAATTCGACATAACAGAAACTTTGACGATCAAAGGAATAAAACCAATAAAGAAAAACCTGATTATATTAAACTTCTTTATACTGCTTTCCTTATTAAATGTCCATTTTTTCCTCTCGTGTGACCACTGCTTCTTTGTGCCCCGCCCCCTGGTGGCATAGCGGTGGTGCCTTTTGTGACTGCCGTAATTTTTAAAGGACGCAGATCGAGCCAAATGTTTTAAAAGTGTGTTTAGGGGCTACAAAGTTCTCTATATTGTTAGAGAAAGTACTGTTGTAGTAAAACAATCGTTGGTGTTGTTACTTGATCAGAAAATGTATTGTTGTAGTGAAAAATATTGTTTAAACTGTATTAGGTAAAACGTTTTTGTATTATATTGATTCGTTATATTCATTAACTTCAACTTGTGATTAAAAGAGCAAACGGTGTTGTGGTTAGGGTTAACCTTTATAAGGGTCACAAGTATTGTTTGAATCTTTTCCGTGACACCAGGTTTCACAAGGCTACAGACGGAGTGATGCACGAAGAAGGTGTGTTCTTCAGCCTGGGAATGTTAGCTCTGGAAAACGGAAACCCTGCAGTAGCCGAACGGTGGTTTCGTAAAGCTATAGAGGTGAGACAACCTAACAGGTTATGACGTAGAACAATAGGTTAAACTTTAGTCCTAGCATTTTACTGTGTTGTGTCCCAGAATCATTCTACCGATAAAATCAAATGTAGTAACAGATAAATCAGCATGGAGTAAATAAATATTAGCAACAAAACAATGTTTGGGGACAAGCTTATCAAGGGATAAACCACATTTACTGTTAGAAACCTGTTATTGTTAAAGCCACGCCCAAAGAGGGATAAACCACATTTACTGTTAGAAACCTGCTATTGTTAAAGCCACGCCCAAAGAGGGATAAACCACATTTATAAATCTTCTACTGTTAAAGCCACGCCCAAAGAGGGATAAACCACATTTAGAAACCTACTATTGTTAAAGCCACGCCCAAAGAGGGATAAACCCCATTTAGAAACCTACTATTGTTAAACCCATGCCAAAAGAGGGATAAACCACATTTAGAAACCTACTGTTGTTAAAGCCACGCCCAAAGAGAGATAAACCACATTTAGAAACCTACTATTGTTAAAGCCACGCCCAAAGAGAGATAAACCACATTTAGAAACCTACTATTGTTAAAGCCACGCCCAAAGAGAGATAAACCACATTTAGGAACCTTCTACTCTTTGAGAATATAGTTCTACCTTTCAGCACGTGAAATATATAATAAAGTGTCGCCCTCTGTTCTCGTTCTTGGGGGGAACGGGCAGAAATTTATTTGATTAATGACCGAAGTTTTCGAAACGAATAAAAATTAGAACGTTTTTCGTCAGTTATAAATAAAACCCTTCCGTGTCTGTCAGAGTGTCTGTAATTCAACAAGTGAAACTTTAAATCAACGTTATTATACTTGTCTCAGCCTATCGATAAATTCTGTTTCGTTGACTATTTTTTAATTGTTTTCGTTTTATTTCCAAAGATTAAACCGAGTGACCGGAGCGCCCTCTTTAACCTCGCCTTGCTTCTCACGGAAAATAATCGCCACTCCGAAGCTCTGGACGTTCTTGAGCAACTGTTGCAGGTGAGAAGCTAAACACTTTAAAATTAATTCGGAATATTATTATCAGTTTATAACAGTTGTCACTTCGAAATATCGGTTACCTTGAACTATTTATTCTGCACCATGACCGCTAAGCATGCCGGTATATATTAGTCACCATTGGTTGGTTGTAGGTGTTAGGCTAATCAACTATTACACCGGTGAAGGCGTTTGATGAACTTCCATTGGTTACTTTCAACTGTTGTTAGGGTTATTTAATTTTTTTTATATATATTGTTATCGGGTTTTTTTTTTCTATGAAAATAGAAGCGGCTATAGTGCGTGTAACAATCAACTAGGTTTTAGGTGTTTCATTTCTTTTTGGCTTTAAAGCCAGTTTCATTAACAGTACTGGCTAAAACATCTAACACATTTATTTATTCATTCATTATGTACATATATATTTATCATCATTATTTTATTTTTTACACTTGTGAGGATTGTTGTGCATTTTTATTGTAGTATATAAGCTTATAACTAAGCTAAATCCCCTAAACTGGCCGAACCTGGTGAGGTATTATTGGGATTACGACCGAAAATATCGATAGCAGCTATGGGTAGAAATACATTAGTATTTTCGAAACTGGTTCGCGTATAATTGTCAAACTTCTTTACATTTTTATCAAATAGAAACATCAAGAAGCAACTCTTAGCTAGTACGTTTCTCTCAGGCTGTTTACTGTTGATTTTTTGTTCCTCCGTCTAGCATCATACCGGTCACGTGAAGGGTCTCCTTCTCCTTGGAGATATCTACATTACTCAGATGGAAAACTTGGACGGAGCAGAAACGGTGAGAATATTTGTTTAATTCATAAACAAAAACCTGGATAATCTAGGTAGTGGCTACTGTTTTCTCACAACTCTTGAGGTTATGTTATAGACTAACGTTACTCCGTGTATTTCTAAACATATACATGTTTATAGACTTAATAGAGATTTTAATGGGATTCCTGGGATAAGCGGAACACACACACATACACACAGTCGAGGGATGAAAGCCCCACTTAGCTTAATGCCCCATGAATTTTACAGCACCGCTTGCACTGAAACCGGTGTTTAACTGACAATCCGAATTATTCTTCAGCTCCGTATCAAGTTCATTTATCACCCAAGTCAAAACATAGACCGGTTCTCTCTCTCTCTCTCTCCTCTTTCAGTGACTGTGTATACAGAGAAATAACTTAATCAGATATTTATTTATTCAACATAAGATCGGTCATAAGTAGACATACGATGAAGAAAGGATAATAAAACAGAGAAAAACAACTGGTAAAAAAGAAAACATACATATAGATGGTACGGCTTATAGCTTCAGAGTGTTGAAATCATATGTAACTAAAACACGGGGCTCCATCTGGGGATACAATAACAAAACACTACATTTCTGAAAGTAGCATGTTTTTTTTTTATAGCGTTTCGTGACTTCTATACTATAAATGTTAAATTACCATTTTTCAAAGAAACTTGAATTTACTACATATATTTCAAGATGTGTAAGCGTCCAACTAACCTTACTCGGGGGGGGGGGGGGGGTGATTTTCCGTAATAATGTTTACCGTTGCTGAATTCCAATTAATCTTACTCGGGGGGGGGTTCAGTAATAATGTTTACCGTTGTTGAATTCCAACTAACCTTACTCGGGGGGGGGGGTTCAGTAATAATGTTTACCGTTGTTGAATTCCAACTAACCTTACTCAACTTTTGTTACTTCTCTTATCTCTCTATATTTAAAATGGCGCCAAAAAGTTGTGAAATATTTTTTTGAAAAGTAATATTTTATGTTTTATATTACATGCCCCAAAACATGAAATTAAGATTCTTTTAAAAATACATTCATTAAAATATTTGCTGACGTATTGTATATTGGTTTGTTTTTGTTTTTTTCAGAAACTAACATGTAAATAGGTTATATCGTTTAGTTTCCAAAGAAGAAACTTAATAAGTTACCTTTTTTGTTATATATATATTTTTTCTGTAAAACTAGTAAGTCGTCAAGAAATTAATGTCGCGTTTTGGAACACTTTCATTAACCACCCCACAAAAAACGAACATCATGTATAATAGTTAAACGAACCG